GGAAGGGCCAAACCTCGGGTGGGATTTGAGCCCCTGGATCCAGCTATACCTGAAGTTCACTCTTGGGCTTCCCAATGACATGGACCCATATAGTCCCATTTTTGTGCGAGGCGGTTTGTATTAGTTTTCTGGCAACCCAAAGAGTGTAACACTCATTAAGCACCGTTACGGGAGAGGCATGGTTTTGGACTCGGGCATTTAGATGTTGGACTGCAGAGCTCAGGTGGGACATGGAGCAGGAGGCAGAACCGTGTCTGAGATTCCAATATCTCCCTTTGGTATTGGTCGGGGGGGGGGTACTCTTGAGACCCAAATATAAAGCCATCGAGTTTCAGGAGAGCTGGTCAGGGATTCATGGGGACTGGTCATGGCAGTGCAAGGATCCCCTCCTCGACCTCCTAGTTGTGGCTGAAGACCTCTCTGCTGACAGACTGGGACCCCTGAGAGTTCTGTGTGCTGGGCGGTTGCCACAGCGACACACCTCTGCTGCGGGGTGCTCTGCCTAGGACCTCAGTATCAGGGAAACCTCCAGAAATCTGCTGACCCTGGCGCAGTGGGCGGGCTCTCAGGGCTCCCTGAAGCCCTGAAATGGAAAGGAAATTCGAGCATGTGTCCACAGCCTTCATCGGCTGTCCTTGTCTCAAGAAAATCATGGCCCCAGAAAGCTAAGTCAGAGGTTTTAAATGGTGCTTTCTGGGGACCCATACCCCTCCAGAATGCCATGGTGGGGTTGGGAGCTGGAGGGAGGGGAGTGGGAGGAGGGCTAGGGAGACATTTGTCGGCCACAGCCGCCTCTGACGTCCCTGGGCGGTCCTGGCCCTGCCCCCGCTCCCACGGCAGCAGCTAATGCCCGAGACCCCCCTCCGCAGAGGTCCCAGAGGTCTGCGCCCCGGAGGAAGAGCCGGTCCCAGGGGCAGCCTCTGGGCCACGAGGGGGCCCTAGGCATGTTTTGCCCTCTCTGGGTCCAGGCGCCCAGAAGCCCCTGGGGAGTCACCGTGGCTAAGACAGACGTCAGCAGGGACCTGCAGCTCAGACCTGATCCCAGCTCCCGCCCACCCTCGGGAGCCGTCTTCCTGCCACGGGGCTGTTCTTTCTCACCCGCCGCACCCACGAGTCAGCTGGCTGTTCCTTCAAGAACCCGCCACCCACGTTCCAGAGCAATCCATGGAGAGTCACAGCAGGAGGTGCTGGATCGAGGCGGGGAGGGCTGTCTCCTCCCTTGAGGAGCTGTGCTGGGCAGGGCTGGGGAACAGGAGCTGGGGAGACAGGTGACCCTCAAGCCATCACACAAAGGAACCACACCTCCTCTGCTCTCCCAAGTGACAGCCCCTGGCCCCAGCTCCAAGACAGAAGAACCTTTTCAGAGTCCCACAACCTATGTGGCTGCCAGAACACCTGTTCCAAGCCCCAGGAGAGCTCACAGGAAGGACAGGTGGCACCCTGGGCCACTCACATTCCTTCTGATGTCAGCACTGTGGCTGTCCTGGGATGTGGTGCTCCAGGACACCAGGTCTGGCTCTTTGGTAAAGCCCCATGGGGCATCCACCTGGGTAACCAGCAGGTGGAATCTCAGCAGTGCTGAGTGGGCCCCAAGAGGCCTGCGTTTTAATACCACTGATACGCTATGCATCTCTTTATATACTGTGTGCATGTGCAGTGGGTTGAATGCCATCCCCCAAAGTGCATGTCCACCCAGAACTTTAGAATATGACCTTATTTGGAAATAAGGTCTTTGCAGATATAATGAGTTAAGGATGTCAAGATGATATTATACTGGATTTAGGATGGGCCCTAAATCCAATGGCTGGTGTCCTTTTAAAAGGAGACACACGGGGAGGAAGGCAGTGATGGGGACAGAGACCGGAGTGGTGGGACCACAAGCCAAGGAACGCCTGGCACCACCAGGACTGGGAGAGGCAAAGAGGACCCTCCCCTAGAGCCTTCCACAGGAGCGTGGCCCTGCCAGCACCTTGATTCTGGGCTTCCAGCGTCTGGAACGGTGTGGATAAAGAATCAGTTGCTGTTGTTCTCAGCTACCGAGTTTGTGGTACAGCAACTCGAGGGAACTCATACAGTACCTCTGCACTTTGCACATAAAAAGTGTTATCCTCTCTCCCGCCCCCCAAGAACCAATTTGCAACCCCTTGGGTGATACCAGCCCTGCTGAGATGCTCCAAAGTCTTATAAACAACCGCTGGAACGTTCTTGAACAAGCCCAGGCAAAACCTCCAGGGTTTTAGGAAGCTGACAACAGAAGTATATCCAAGTCTGAAATGTTTACTGCTTCTGGTGGAAGCAAATGACCAGGGGCGAACAAAAGACGTCATGTTTCACGGCCCGAAACAGACCGGTGAAAAGAACGATGCTACTCACATTGAACAAGAAATGTTATGGGTGGGGGCGGAATTCCAGAGAGTGCAGAGTAGAGGGAAAAACACCCTCAAACTCTTCAGCCTCTAGGGAAAGGTCTCTAACTGCTGAGGGAAATACCACACAGATCTTTCAGATAGTGCATTTGCCCAGAAAACAGGTTTTTTTAAAAGGGAAAGTCGGACTGCACGCCTAGGGGAAACAGTATCTCCACGTCTCCTCTTCTCTGGATGCACGTGACACTCCGAGCCCCGCTGCCTCGTGAAAAACAGCGACAGGCGTCCTCAGGAAGGAGCCTGGAGTCTTTGGATAAGAAGCATTAAATAATCAGAATTGTCGCAGGCAGTCAGTGAACGCGTTCTGGGTGCGCCGTGCTGAGAACTTCTCAGCCGCTCTCTCTTCTCATCCCACTGCAGCCCAGGGAGGTAGGCACTGCTGTCCCCACTTTTAAAGAGGAGGAAACTGAGGCACAGAGAGGTTAAGTCACCTGCTTGAGGTTACCCAGCTAGTGGGAGGCAGGCTGGGGTTTGAGCCCTGGTCTAAATGCAAGACCCAGGCTCCCAAACTCCGACAGTCACGTGGAGAGTGGGTGGTTTCTGTCCCAGCCACAATGGATCAATGAACAAGATGGAGCGTCCAGCCTTTGGCGTGGGGGAAATTTAAAAGCCAAAAGCTTGGCAGCCCCTTCCTTGGATTATTTTGAACTGCAGCTTCCCAAAGGCAATACGAATGGCCCATTGGCGATGCTTCAGTGTGGGTCCCAGAGAACTCCACGCGGGAGGGGGACCGTAGCAGACACCACTGTGGGCTCTCACTGGTTCTGTGGCCCGGCTCCTCTTGTCCACTGGGGGCCTGGGCCTCCCCAGTCCCACTGTCGCTTGTGGAGGAAATGCCAGTCGTGGGCTCCTTGCCAATATGGTCCACAGCAGTGAGCATGTGACTCAAGATGGGCCAATCAGAGCCTTCCATGAGATTTGAGATGGGAAAGTGTCTCTGTCTTAGAGTTCGTGACCCTGTGGTTATAGGCTTGGGGCCGCTGACAGCCACCTTTCCCAGCAAGTGGAAGAAAGAATGAGGTCAGTATGCAGAGATGTGGGGTCAAGAGGCCTGGGTGCAGTTGAGAGGCCTGAGGACATTGGGCTCCTGGGTCCAGCCATACCTGGAGCAAGACCCACCCTCAGCCACCCCAAATACAGGACCCAGGGAGTTCCCTTTGCTGCTAAGCCAGTTTGAGCTGGGTTTCTCCTGGGGGAGAAAGCACTCAGGAGGGGAACCAAGAGGGTGTGAGGGTCCTCACCCCTGCTGTGGTCGTACACCCACTCCTTGGCCCAGTGACTCTGTCAGAGATGACCCTAACTCTAAGCAAAGCTAAGAGACAAGAGGGAGGCGCCTCTCGGGCCCTAGAAAGGAGCCCAGGCTGCAGACGGAGCTAGGTCAGTGAGGTCCCTCACAGGCAGATCGTGAGGTTGTGTGGTATGGGCTGGGCACTAGTCCATAAGGGTGTGGCCCCATATCAGGACACAGAGGTGTTGCCTTCATGCAGCAATAGTGGCCCCATTTTGCCAACACTCCCAAATGCCTAACGGAAGCCAGAAATTCTCATTTCTATGAGAAATGCCCCAATTTTTAAACCACTCTAAAGCCAAAAACCCAACACTAAAGGCAGTTCATATCAGACTTCAGGCTGCCATTTGGTGACCTCTGACCTGCTGCCTTTGGGTGGCCCAGGAAAGGAAAGGAGAAATGTCCTCAGGCCCCTAGAAACCTAGGACTCCCCCGTGTAGCAGCTGGGGAAAGCCGTGGCAGTAAGACAGCTGGCTCCAGAGTCAGACCCGCCGAGGGCAGAGACAACAGCTCCAGCCCACAGGGGAGCCCTGATGTCACGCCGAGACGCTGGATCCAGCCTTACCAGGAACTCCTGGACTGGCCAGTTACCTGCGCCCACGTATGGGCATGCATGGTCATCCTTTGTGTCTAAGCACCTGGGAGGTAGGTTTCTGTGGCTTAAACAGGAAAAACTCGTAACTAAACAGCTCCCCGGGAGAGACAGGGACCTCACAGAGGGGCATACAGACAGCCTGAGCCGCCCGGTCTGTGCCTGAAACTTAGCAGAAGCCCACCGGCTCCGAGTCGGGGTGTCAGGGTTAGGGCTCCCCCCGAGTGCTGGGATATGGATTTCAGTCCCCACAGAGAGCAGGGCCTGTAAGTCACATAACCGCCCTCCAAGCACATCTTGGGACAGGGGACATTGTTATGCCATCGAATGCCAGGCCGAAACGCTGTCACTGGTGCCTGCCCGGCATCCTTTCCCGCTTCTTCTTAGGGGGACCCCAATATTCTTGGAGGCACCTCCTTGCCCCTTTCAGGCCACCTGGTTGGCTCCAGAGAGGGGCATGTGATCCAGACTGGCCAATCACTGTACTGCCCCCATTCCAGGTCACAGTGATTGGTCCAGGTTGGACACATGACCAACAAGGCTGGCCAATCACCGTTCTCCGTTCTCCTCAGCAACTGTGATTGGTTCAGGAATTGACCGGGGCCCCCAGCAGCCTAAGCCTCGGTTCTGGGGTGAGGACTGGAACTTTGGGGAGAAGGAAGCTCCCTGATGCAGCCGAGTGGGGGCGGGGGGCGGGGGCGGGGCGAGAACCAGTGACGGGTCCGGGATCCAGGGGGACCTGAGAGTGGTCGGAGCGCTTGGCCTTGGCCTTTCCCGACACGAAGCCGGAGGAGCTGGTTCTGCCCTCGCGACCCCGGGAGCCCCGGGCTGGCTCCCCGCCGTCCGCCCCGGACACCCCGACGTTGGCAGCGTCCCGGCCCGGGGCTCCGGCCCTCGTGGTCCCAGGCCTCGCGGCAAGCTGGCTTCTCCTCTGGACACTTCCGGACGCGCGGGCTGAGCGGCTGCCCCGGAGCGCCGGCCCGGCTATCTGGAGACCAGGGAGCTGCTGTGGGACTGGCCGGAGGAGGAGGCCGAGGTGGCGGCGCTGAGCTGGGAGAAGCCGCTGGTGCAGGATTCCAGGCTGGACCTGGAGCCCCTGGGGAGGAAGGGCACGGCGCAGGTTACCTTTGGGCCGACACACGCAGTGCGAAAGCTGTTGGTGCCGCAAATGAGGCCCCAGGGCTCCTTCCACAAGGCTGTCAACCGCCCCAGGGCCCCCGGCCAAGGGCCCGGGGAAAAGCAAGTGACGCAATGAGGAGAAATGAAGCGCCACCCATTCCCTGCACCCGGTCTCCCCACACAGAGCCCCAAACCAGCCATAGCCTGCCACAAACCACTCGGGCTGCCCTGACTTGGGGCCCTAGCATGGCCCAGAGGTCCCCACAGGCTGGGGAGTCCCTGGCCCCATGTCCTGAGTCACTTCCCCTCACTCTCTGCTCTCAAACCACACAGGCCCCCTTCCGGCTCCTCCAGCCGCTTTTGCATGTGCTGAGCTGGCTCCAAGCTTCAGAGTAGTGTTGCCCACGATAATTTTGTGACAACAGACATGTCCTATATCTGCACTGTCCAAGGCGGTGGCCACTGGCCCCGTGGGGCTCTCTAGCACTGGAAATGTGGCCAGTGCCACTGAGTAACTGAATGGTTCATTCTGTTTCCTTCTACTTGCTAAGTTAAATTGCTGCAGGTGGCCAGTGCTAGCAAAGTGGACGGTGCAGCGTTAGGGCCCTGCTACTCGAAGTGTGGTCCTGGGCCCAGCAGCACCCAGAGCTTGTGAGAGATGCGGAATCTTGCCCAGCACAGTGGCATGAGCCTGTAGCCGCAGCTATTCAGGAGGCTCAGGTGGGAGGATCGCTTGGGCCAAGGAGTTTGTGGCAAGCCTGGGCAACATAGCAAGACCCCATCTTAAAAAAAAGAGAGAGAGAGAGATGCAGAAATCCCACCCTCCCCAGAGCTGCAGAATCAATGCGCCCCCTGGTGACTTGGGTGTACACCCCTTAGATCTCAACTCCACTGTGGCTCTCCAGGTTCCCCCACCCCCCTTCTCCTACCTAGGCCAGGCTCCTGTCCTGTGCTCTGGGTTAGGTCCCCTAGCACCTCCCGGCTGGGTGACCTTGGGCATGGCATCATTGCTGCCCACACTTATACTCAAGTGTGAGCCTCTGGCCCCCTGCTCCGTGACGGCACACCCTGTCTGTGTGGTCCCCTCAGGACCCAGCCCAGCTCCTGCCCACTGAGGGTGACCAATAGCCCTTGAACAGATTTTCTCATGCAGCCATGGAAGGACAGGGCAGCAATGTCCCCATGCTGACCAGCCCAGGCAGCTGGCGTGCAGTGTCCAGCCCACCCCTCTGGCCTCCGAGGCCCTCCCGGAGAACCGGTGGCCAAAACACGCCGCTTCACAAAAAGTGAAAACTGGTGAACCACCAGTCCCCAACAAGCTCTGGGGTCCCTCTATGGATGGACTCTGGCCCAGTATTCCTCACACTGGGCTGGGATCCCTGGAGCTCTGCCTGGGACTCAGGGTCCAGACTGGGCACGCTCCTGGAGCCTCAATTTACCCCAGGTAAAGAATTCAAAACATTAATTTTACATGGGAACTAACACAGGTGTGGCACAAAGCAGGATGCAAAATCACATTCATTTTTAAAAGGTAAAATGCAAGGCTTTGAAGAAGTTGCCTGCTCCTCCTCCAATCTCCCACCCCGGCATTTCTGCCATCCCTGCTGTGTGCGCCCAGGTGGCAGGGGGCCCCCAGCCATTTCATCCTCACGAAAGGCCATGGGGCAGGGGCTCTGGTGGCTCCCATTTAAGGTATGGGGTGCCCGAGGCTCAGAGAAGTGAGGCGACTTGCACAGCTCTCAGCCACTGCACTCCCCTGTCTCTCTGAAAGCAACAACTTGGGGAGAGTCATCCGTGAGACACCATCCTAGAATATTCTAGAATAATTCTTGACCCTGTGGAATTCTAGGAGTGAGGGGAGGTCTCCGCCCCCACCCCAACTGCTGTGACGTGGTGGGCTGCTGCCCGGGGTTTCATTCCGAGAGTCTGTGACAGTGAGAGTCGGCTGCTCTTTCTCATGCTGAGGTGCCTCTGGAGAGTTCCAGCAATGCCGTGCAGGGAGGGGACGTCTGCGTGCTCAGCGTGCCCCTGAATCCGAGGCCCCAGCCCAAAGGAAGGGGTACTGCATGGGGTGGGGGGCAGCCTGGCCTGCAGAGGGGTCCCAGGTCTCCTACCTGAAGTCCTCAGATGCGAGCACCTCGAAGTAGTACAGCAGCTTGCACTTGGGGCCAGGGCTGTGCAGGGCCGTCAGGACATCATCCACCCCCGGGAGGCTGCAGGCCACGCTGCTGGGGGGGCTGTGCATCTGCCACTGGAGCAGGTAGACCCCAGGCCACCGGGTCACGTGGGAGCCCTGAAACACAGCAGCCACACCTTGAGGCCCTGGTCCCCCTGGGGACTGAGCCTGCATGGGCTCCCCGTCACCAGGCCTGGAGAATGGGGCCCTCCTCCCTCTGTCCTTTTGCCGATCCACCAGTAAACCGTCTCTGAGGGCCTCCCGAGGCCATCCTTGCTGTCCCCTCCCGCCACACCCCGCTGCAGCCCTGGGACCAGAGCCTCTCTCTTAACCTGGGGGAAGGCGAGGCCTGGGTGGGGATGCGGCTGCAGGCCGGCACAGGTGAGAAACACCTGGATTTTGTGGGGCTTTTGTTCTGGGATTTGGAGAGGTATCGGGCGGGGAGCTCACAGGTGTTAGAGTTTGTTGTGGGTGGTGGAGAGCAGGAAAGGGAGGTGTTGGTTGTTACAAGTGCAACTCTAAGAAGGGTTGAGATGTTCAGTGAGAACCAGGGGTGGCTGGCAAGTGACGTGCAAGATAGCCATCTGCTCTGTCCCCCTTGGAACCTGCCGTGGGAGCTGTGGTGGTCACCAGGGCTTGTGCAGGTGGCTCTGTGTGTGTCCTGTGTGTATCTGGGGGCCAGGGGGTGATGCCCACCTGCAACCCTGGGGCCAGCTGGGGGCTGGCATTCCAATTCTACATCCAACTTCTGTTCCAGACCTACAGAGCCTGCATCAGACATCTGCCCACTGACCCCAGGACATTGGCACCTTCCCTCCCATGCAACTGGCTGCCTACCGCTGCCCAGCACTCGCCCTGCCCGCCCCACATCATCCCCCACCTTCTCCCTGCTGCCTCTACTTTCTTTTTTTTTTTTTTTTTTTTTTTGAGACAGAGTCTCGCTTTGTTGCCCAGGCTAGAGTGATGCCGAGGCATCAGCCCTAGCTCACAGCCAACCTCAAACTCCTGGGCTCAAGCAATCCTCCAGCCTCAGCCTCCGAGTAGCTGGACTACAGGTATGCGCCATCCATGCCTGGCTATTTTTTCTATATATATTAGTTGGCCAATTAATTTCTTTCTATTTATAGGTAGAGAGGGGTCTCGCTCTTGCCTCAGGCTGGTTTCGAACTTCTGACCTCGAGCAATCCACCCACCTCGGCCTCCCAAAGTGTTAGGATTACAGGTGTGAGCCACCGTGCCCGGCCTCCACTTTGTTCTTTCTGTTCCTTCACCTGGAACCTCATCGCCCCTCCCCACTTCAGGACCCGGCCACTCCTCACGGTCTTCCATGTTGAAGCCCCTTCAAGTCATACAGAGAACTTGGACTTCCAATTCCAACACCCTTGTCCTTCTCTCTGCATGAGCATGAGGAAATGTGGTGGGCTGACTAGTGTCCCCCCAAAGTTCATAACTAACCAGAACCTCAGAGTATGACCCTAGTTGGAAAGAGAGCCTTTGCAGCTAAGGATCTAGAGGGCTGGAGTCCTTACAAGAGAAAGGGCAGGGAGGTTGGAGACACGGAAGAGACAGTGCCGGCCTTTAAGGACAGGAGCAGAGACTGCAGTGCTGGGTCTACAGGCCGAGGAAGGCCCAGCCACTGTGTGCCCTCAGCACCTCTTGATGAGTGAACCCGTGATCCTGAGACGCGAACCTGGATGCTCTCCCCCTCCCGGCAGAGGAGGGGCGCCTCCACGCGGCTGTAGTCCCTGCCGAGCACCCAGCCTCTGTCGACCAGCTGCTCCCGGGGGCCCGGCCTGGGCACGCGCCTGGTGTGGTACAGGCTGAACACCACGTCCCCCCGCAGGATGTCGAAGTCCCAGGTGATGACCGACTCCCCTTCCAGAATCTCCACCGCGACCTGCTCGGACACAGGTGAGACAGGTGTGGTCTGAGGGTCCCAGCTGAGAGGGGTGCGCTGGCTCAGGGACAACGGTAGCAGGGGCTGCTGTGGGCGCCCATGGGGGGTCTCCTCTGCTGGGCCACGTGCTCATTCCCCGCCACAGGGACGGGGGGGGGGCTGCTAAGGCCCCCAGCTGCCCCCTTGTCCGAGAGCTGCCCTGGGCAAATGGACCCGCCTCTCTCTGAACCGCCTGGGCCGTCCCCCCTGGGGCGACCCACAGCCAGGACTGACAGCCCAGGGGGCGTTCCAGAACTCCCTGCTGGGATTCCTTCCCACGCCCACTGCCTCCCCACCCGAGACAAATCGCGATAATCATCGCCTTAGGCCTCATTTCCCGGGAACCTGACCTAAGGCGACACCCCAGCCCACGGCCTGCCCAGGCCAGGCCCAGCACCTCGTGGGGGGCCCCGCGGAGCACGCTGGCCGAGTGGTAGGTCTCACTCCACTGCCGTTGCTGGTCTGCCTGCTCCTGCTCCTCCTCCGTCAGGTAGCGCGACTTGGGGACCAGCCCTCCTTCGGGGACGTTGCACTGTGGGTCAGACACAGAGGGTGGCAGGTCGGTGCCTGGCTGGCCTGGCTGGGCTGGCCCACAGAAGGGGGCTCTATGAGCCCCAAAACAACTTGCACAGCCACCCCTTGCTGAGCTGCGTGGGGGGCTTTTGTGACGCCATTTAGGCCCCAGAGCCACCAACACAGCAGGGACAATTATTTCACAGAGATAGGAAACAGAGGCTCAGAGAAGTCAGGCCACTTGCCTACGATCACACGGCAGCAAGTGGCTGGGCCAGGGCACAAAGTCAGCCCCCTAGGCTCATGTCCCTTACCCCGATGCAGGGCTGACGTCTGGGCCAGGGGACCCTCACACTGCACCCGAGCAGTGCACCTCCCTGTCGGTAGTGGGGAGGGAGCAGTCTCTCAACTGTCCTGATCTGCAGGTTTCCCCAAGTCAAGGTGCCCGGATGGCCCGGCCTTGGGAGACCCTCTGCCGTCACCAAACAATGATCTCTGCCCTCATGTCACCTGCTGAAACACTAGGATCAACAAGTGAGGTCACTGCCAGCGTCCGTCAGTAAGTCACCCTCAGATCGGCAGGCCCATGCACTAAAAATAAATCCTGTGTGTGACGTATTACAACCAGTGGAGGGAACGGGCAAGTCCAGCTAAATTCCTAGGAAAAGACGTTTTTATCCAGAAATGATGCAAGCTCGCTGGTATTTTTGTTACGATAGCTCTGCCCACTGAGGGCCACGTGAGATGACCGAGTTGTGACCTAGGCTCCGCGCTGCCTTTCATTTCAGCCCCGGGGCAGGTGGTTAAAGGGGTCTGGATGCTGCCTCCCTTGAAGCGGTGGCCTGACCATCCCAGCTGTGTGGCTGTGGGCCGGTCCCTTTGGGTCTGCCAGCTGCAGGGCCCAGGGCCACCTGGACATGGGTGTCACCTGCATCAGAGGGCACAAAGTGAGCAGGCAAACCCTCACCCCTGCTCAGCAACACCTTTGCTGGAGGTACAGCATGGGTGAGCCTTTGACCGGCCTGGTCTTTGGGCTTCCAGAAACTTCTGTCTCACTCACTAGGTTTGAAAGAACCAAGGTAAGGCCCAACCTCAGAGAGGTGTCACCTCTCTTTGAGGCAGCTTCTAAAGCAAGCCCTGTCCGCACCGGGCAGCGCCCCGCCCAGCAGCCCGGCTCCCCGCCCCCGGCCGCCTCACCACGCTCTCCCCGCCGAGGAAGTCGGGGATCACGTCCTTATCCAGGTAGTCCACGAGGCCTCCGGGGCCCTGGTAGTTGCTGCCGCTGTAGATGAGGAACTTCTGCCGCGTGTTCTCGTGGATGAAGGGGCTGATCTGAAACGCAGGAGGGGAGGCAGGGTGGGGCGGGTTCTGCACGGAGAGGTAACTCTTATGACCTGGGCTTAGTCACTTAATCACGGACAGGGACACAGATATGACATGGACTTAATCACCCTCAAGCGCACCGGTCAGTGGCTCGCGATGCGTCCACTACGCTGTGCAGCCACCACCTCCGCCTGGTTCCGAGACACGTGCTTCGCCCCAAAGGGAAGCCCCACACCCACTCGCAGTCACCCCTTTCCCCTCCCCCACCCCGGCAGCCGCTGAGCTGCTGGAAGTGAACCCTGCTTCCAGCTGGGCCCCGGCGGGCTGACTCAGCCCCACCCCGCCCAGTGAGCATCTTCCTAGGAAATCTCCAAGCAGCACATGAACTTGGTTTGCACAGAGATCAGGACAACTCGGGATAAAACGCTTCGCAAGCAGCTCCTGCTCCCCAGCCCCGCCCTACAGAGCCTGGAAGCACCTACAGAGGCCAGAGAACTTTCTGCCCGATAAGCACATCCGCGCCCTCCCCTGCTCACAATCCTCCGTGGCTCCCTACTGCCCCAGGACAAGGGCCCGTCTCCACCACCGGCTGCACTCCTGGCCTTCCCCGGCACTGCGGTCCCCTTTGCTCCTGTCTGCTCGGGCCACCCTGGACTCCCCCAAAGCATCAAGCGGGGTCCCGTCTCCAGGCCTGTGGCCAGGCTGTGCGGTCTGCCTGCCACAGCTTCCTCCTGCTCTTCCTGGGAAGACTCCCACTCCTTCCTCAGGTCTCAGCCTCAGGTCACCTCCTCAGGGGGCCCGCCTCCGTTCCCCAATCGAAATACGCCCCTGCACCGGCCCCCGCCCGACTCGGTCTCTCTGAGAGTCCTGACACCCTCTTGTCCTTGTCACAGAAACTCCCGGTGCTTCTACTTGGGGGTTCATCCTCCTCCCCTACCCTGTGACATGGGGGGTTGGGGACCCAGTGGCTGGCTTGTTCACTCTAAACCCCAGGGCCTGCACAGGAGCCTGGCACATAGTAGGTGCTTAGCAAAACACGGACGGGCTGATTTAGCTTGACCGCCTGGCTCCTTCCCCAACGCCTTCCCCGACCCCAGGCAACGCGCTCACAGCGGATTCGGGATGTGCAGGCCTGGAGGGGCCCGCTCCGCACTGCCCTGCAGCAAGGCCTCGGGGCACAGGCCTCCAACTGCACGTGACAAACTGTCAGCGGGCTGTAAAGTCGATTTTGTGCAGCAAGACTGGCCTATTTTGAACAGAACAGAACCGAAGACAACAGGCAAGACGGTGTCGTCCGTATTAAAGGAGCCGGCACTTTGCGGACCTCTTGTTCAGCAGCGCCTGTGTGCCGGGCTGCATACAACATGCGTGTCACACCGTGGGGCGTGGGCAGAAGGTTGTAAAAGCCCCACGGGACGGGGCCCAAACGCTCCTTGGAACTGGCTCAGGGGAGTCCCAGGGACACGGCCGGATTCCGAGTGTGACTCCCACGCCCGAGAAGGGGAACACGGAAGACACGCGCTGTGGTCGCCCTGCAGTGGGACAGCACTCAGCCACGAGAAGGAACGAGGCCACACAGGCTGCAACCGAGGGCCTCGAGGACCCCCGTTCTCAGTGACAAGAGCCAGACAGAAGAAGCCACACGTCGTACGACCCCACTCTGGCGAAATGTCCACAACAGGGAGACGCACAGACCCGGAAGGAGACTGGTGGCTGCCAGGGGCTGGGGGACGGGGAGGGACTGCCCACGGGCTCGGGGGTTCTTTTGGGGGTGATGGGAATGTTCTGGAATTGGACAGTGGTGGCCACCGCAGAACTGTGGATGTGCCCAAAAGCACAGAGCTCTATGCTTTGAGAGATGTTTACGGCAGAGGAGTCGCGTCTCAATGAAGTGTTGAAAGGAACACAGGACCAGGGAGAACCAGGCGGCTCTGGGAGGGGGCGGGGCTCGCGCCGGCTCTTACCAGCGTCCAGAGCACGGGGAAGACGCGGGGCGCGCGCACGATGAGCAGCCGGCCCAGGGTCTCGGGGTAGTTGTCCTGGACCACCTCGAGCATGCGCAGCAGCGCCTTCACGCCGGGCCGCCACAGGTGCCGCATGTTCAGCCCCTCCAGGTCCAGCAGGCAGGTCCAGGAGCTGCGGCAGAGACGGTCCCCGCTCCACCTGGCGCTGCCACCTCCCAGGGCCCCCGGCACCCTCCCCGGGGACGGGACGGGAGGGAGGCTCGGTGAGCCTCGGCTGGGAGCAGACGGGGCCACGGGACGCTCCCGTGGATCAGAGGTTCCGGGCGTGGACTCCAAGGCCCAGCACCTGAACTTGAGTCTCCCCTGCCGCCCCGAGAGCTGCGTGGCAGGGCCACCAACCTGGCCTTCCGCCTCGTGGCAGTGGCGAGGTCAGTGACAGGCCCCGTCTCGGGCAGCTGCTGTTGGGGTTAGGCGAGATGGTGTGTGGAGAGGGCCCCGCGAGCTCGGCGCACAGCCGGCTCCCAGTCAAAGCTGGTTATCGCTGTTAACTGTTGAAACGGTGCTGACCACTAAAGAGAGCACGGCAACTAAGAGCATCTACCCCACAGCCCGATGGCCCAGGTTCGAATCCCAGCCCTGCCACTTGCTGTGTGGCCTTGGCCAAGTTCTTCTCTGTGCCTCCACTGCACTACTACTAATTGATTGGGAAAATGACCGTGTCACTGCAGTGGCTGGTCCCCGGGAGCCTCCGCGTCCCAGATTTGTTCCCTCAAACCCGCACACACCTCTGCAAGGAGTCCCTGTGTGACACCCCCTCATCTGAACCATCTGGGGTGCATTCTTCTTCCAGCCAGGACCTTGATTGATCGATCCCACCCCCACCCCACCCCAACATGTTTCCTTGGGAAATCTCCAGACGGCAAAGGAACTTAAATTTCACCAAGATCAGGACATTCTGGGATAAAACGCTGGAGCATCAGGTCCTGACCGTCCCTGTCTCTCTGGGCTGCTGGGAGGATGAAATGGATCAAGGAGCTTAGAAGAACCTTGCTGCGCACACAGTAAGTGCTATAATGCGTGCTTGCCTTCTTTTTAGTAGTTACTGTTTTTGATCACGAAAAAGCCACTTTACAGACGAAGGAAGCTGTAGCTCAGAGGGGTTCACTGCCTTCGGGGTGATGCCCTGCGAAACTCAGGTCGGGGACAGACACTGGGGGGAGCGAGAAGTGGACAGTGGTTAAAGAACGTGATCCCGCGAGGCCGGTCTGCCCCCGGGATGAGTCAGGGCAGAACTCGGGCGGGAGAGCTGGTCTCAGAGAGCAAAGTCGAGGAGGCTGCTGAGGGCAGGGGGTGGGGATGAAGTCCTCAGGCCTGAGCCCGACTCGGGACCTGATTCCGATCCTGCTGCGCCCTGTGCCCCGCCGAGTCTGTCTCCCCGCCCACAAAGCATCACAGGCGGCGACTGCCGGCGAGGACCTAATCAGAGCGCCCGGCACGGAGCACATGCGGGGTGCCCGTCGGCCGTCTGTCATCTAGGGGGGGGTTCTTGCCTGATGGGACGGCCAAACTGCTTTGTGTTCCCCGCACACCTCTTCTGCCCTTCCTCGTTGACGGACAGAACCTGGGAGGGAGACACGGAGCTGCCCAAGGTCCGCCTCGCTGCTCGGCCGGCAGGTGGCCCTCCCCAGGCGCAGCCCGGCCAGGGGTGCGGGCGGCGGCCCCCGACTCACGTGCCGCAGCAGCGCCTCCTCCCCCACGGCCTTCATCAAGCCCTTGGTGTCCATCTGGCCCAGGCGCAGGATGTAGAGGGGGCGGCCGTCTTCTCGGATGGGGCCAAAGAGAAGAGACTGTTATTTAGGGGGGCAGCCGGTGGGGGGACAGGTCAGAGCTAGGGGTGACAGCTTCGCCCCCCAGGCTGTAGCTCAGTAGGGCCCGGCCAGTCCCTGCCGCCGCCCGCCGTCACTCCCGCCCGATGGGGCGCGGCGAGCACAGGTGTTTTCTCCCTAAGTCGCACCCCGCCTTCTCGCACTCAGGCGCACTCGGCGACATTTCAGTGCTATTCTTGGGGCCGTTTTAAACAGTGGAAGCACCCCAAAAAAGGCACAAAGATGTTAAAATGTGGCGCTAAACAGGCCACGAAAAGGAAACCCGTTTGCAGTATGAGAGTTGAAACAAGGAGGCAGAGAGTCTCCATGCCCAACCCCAGCAGAGAACGTGCACCTCAGGTGACTCGACTTCTTTGCTACTCTGCACACGGCTGGGAAACATCACCAGAGCCTCGTGAATATTGACGCGGGGTGACAAGTAAATTTTAGCAAGCAGGCTGTGGCAAATACAGAATCCGTAAGCAACGAGGATCAACCATGTATGAAAAGGACCCACACCAGCGGAACCTCCAGCGTAGCACTTACCCTAACCAATACATGGGAATTTTTACATAAATGACATTTTAAAAAAATTTGCATTGGCTTCAGTGGTAGTTTAATTTAAAAATCCGGAAGAGATATGTGGAGTGGGTGGAATAGTGCCCCCAAAAACTCATGGCCACTGGAACTTTAAAATGGGACCCCACTTGGAAACAGCCTGAGCAGATGTAGTTAGTTGAGGATCTCAAGATGAAATCACACTGAGGTTGAGGTTGAGCCCTAAATCCAACGACCCGGGGTCCTTATGAGAAGAAGAGAGGGCACAGAGACACCCAGAGAGAAAAGACACATGACAACAGCCCAAGGCACCCCGGGCTACTGGAAAGTGGGGAACGATTCTCCCCCCAGAGCCTTCAGAGCGAAGCTGACAGCTTGATTTCAGACTTCTGGCCTCCAGGACTACGACAGAATAAATTTCTGTTGTTCTAAGCCACCAAGGTTGTGGCAACTTGTTATGGCAGCTCCAGGAAACACAAAGTATGTGCAGCCCCGCGTACGTGGTTTTTTTTTTTTGAGACAGAGTCTCACTTTGTTGCCCGGACTAGAGTGAGTGCCGTGGCGTCAGCCCAGCTCACAGCAACCTCAATCTCCTGGGCTCAAGCGATCCTCCTGCCTCAGCCTCCCGAGTAGCTGGGACTACAGGAGTGCACCACCATGCCCAGCTAATTTTTTCTATATATATTAGTTGGCCAACCAATTTCTTTCTATTTTTAGTAGAGACGGGGTCTCGCTCTTGCTCAGGCTGGTCTCAAACTCCTGACCTCGAGCAATCCGCCCGCCTCGGCCTCCCAGAGTAATGGGATTACGGGCGTGAGCCACCACGCCCAGCCCTGCGAATTTGACTGCAGTGACCTACTGGTGGGGGCCAACCCACCCGCCCGGCGAACGGACGCGTGTCTCTTCCCCAAGCCCAGAAGCCTGTTCTGGTTCTGCCTCCTCCCAGGTGCCCGGGGAGTCGAAAGGACCGGCAGCAAGGCGCTAGCGTGAAGTGGCCCGCCCGAAGCGTGCTGTGTCTGTGCGTGGCGGAGGGGCGGGCGGCACGCACCTGCGTCCTGGTAGTGCCAGCCCCCGGCGTAGAACTCCTGCAGGAGCGCGGGGGGCCGCCAGGTCTGAAGGAGGAGGTCCACCTGCTGCTGCTTCCGCCAGCTCAGGGACTGGCACAGCATCTCCCGGGCCTTGTCCACGTGGAAGTCGCGGGCCCGCAGGAAGCGCAGGATGTGCTCGTCTTTGGGGATCTGAGGGACGGAGAAGGAAAAGGCCCGCACAGGGGTGTTCCCCAACTCTGCGGACAAACCACAGACGGCGAGCCTCCTGCGCCTCGCCTGCTCTGCAGAGTGTTTCGCTGGGGACAGGGCCACATTCTCCCTCAACCACGAGGCAGAGAGAGAGCCACGAGGTGGACAGTAGAGAGTGTCTGTGCATCGTGGCCGCCTAACCTCCCTCCCTCCTTGTGCCGGGAACGGCGCCTCTCTTCCCGGGGACAGCTGCTCCTCCCTGTGCCCGTCTTGCACGGCCAGCCCCACGAACAGCTGCCCTTTCTTGAGCGCACGCTCGGGCTGGAGGACACAAACTCATTTCCTATCTCACCTTTCCTCCTCCCGTCCCCCATGCCCCCCACCATACCTGCCACCAACCGGATGTGATCCAGGGGGCCCCACCCCTGCACCCACCTTGCCTCTGTGGGTCTCCTGCAGCCAGCGCCGGAGCTGGACCAGGCAGCTCTCCTGCATGGGCGTGAGGCGGCCCAGGCACCTCTCTATGTAGTCCGCGTCCAGCTTGTCCCCTTGGAGAGGAGCAGGGGTGGCACCAGGACCAGAGGGGACACCGCACACCTCCTAACCGTGCGGCCTGCCCTTTCTGGAGCCCCCCCCCACTCACTGGCCGCCCCTTCTCTGAAACACGGTTCCAAGCCAGGCTGTGGCCTCGGACTCTGAAGGCGGTCATTTTTCCAGCACATTTCCGAGGCGGTTCTGAAAACTCATGCTAGGCCAAACCTGGATCTCACTGTGAGATGGGATTTCTCCTCTTTGACCCTCAAAAATGAGGATACTTCCCACCCTCTGGGGCGTGCACAAGGTTAAAACTGGATTCATGGTGTATGTGTGGTTCGTATCCTAGTTTGTTTTTTTTTTTCCCCCTTTATATTACGAACATTTTCCAGGTCAATTAAAATCTGAACTGTGACAAAGGGCTAATTGCCGTAATATACAAAGAGCTCTTACAAAACAATAAGAAATCAATGGGCAAACAGGAAAATGGACAAAGGACAAGAACAGGAGTTCAGCTAACAAAGGAAAACAGAGTCACTAAGCATGAAAAAATAATGCTTGACCTTACTCATAGTGAAAGAACTGATCACTGCTCCACCAGTGATCACTCTTACTGCCTTTCAGAAGTGAAATCTTTACAAAGAGTCTGTGGGAAGCTGGGGTGAAGGCAGGAATAGGCAGTCACACACCTTCAGTGGGAGACTGATCAGCATAACCTCTTTGGAGGTCTAATTGGCAAATCCAACAAAATTTTAGTTGCATATAACCTTCTACTCAGCATTTATGCTATGTATATACTCCTACAAATTTTTAAAAAATCCCTTTACAAAAATGTACCACACTATTTGCATTTTTGAAAAACTGAAGCAACTTAAATTTCCATCAATAGAGGACTCGCCTAATAGACTAGTAATTAAACATAATCAATAAATAAACCACGTGTGGTGGCTCATACCTGTAGTCCCAGATACTCGGGAGACTGAGGCGGGAGGATCGCTTGAGCCCGGGAGTTCAAGTCCAGCCTGGGCAACACAGCAAGACTCAGTCTCTAAATAGTAATAATAAATAAATGTTTATTAATAAGTTGTGGTGCAACCACACATACTATAGAGTAGCAAAAGGAGACATATTCACTTCTACAGAAAGTTGTTCAAGCAACATTAGTGAGTGAAAAAAAGCAATATATGCTAGCACTCTGGGAAGCCGAGGCGAGTGTATTGCTCGAGGTCAGGAGTTCAAAACCAGCCTGAGCAAGAGTGAGACCCCGTCTCTACTATAAATAGAAAGAAATTAATTGGCCAACTAATATATAATAAAAAATTAGCCGGGCATGGTGGTGCATGCCTTGAGTCCTAGCTACTTGGAGGCTTAGGCCAGGAGGATCGCTGGAGCCCAGAGTTGAGGTTGCTGTGAGCTAGACTGACGACCCACCGCACTCACTCTAGCCTGGCAACAAAGTGAGCCCTGTTCTCAAAAAAAAAAAAAAAAAAGCAAAATATGAAATAGAAAACCTACAATATGTTCTCATTTGTTCAACATAAGGCATACCGTGCAAGTGCGTGTGCACAGCCGTGTGAGTATACATATGTAACGTTACATACGCATATAAGCCTGGATAGCTTCAGAGAACACAAACACACAACTACTGTGGCCTCCAAGGAGAGGAAAGGAATCTTAACTTCTTATGTCACATCTTCCAAGCAGTTTGAATGTTTTTCCTGCCATGACCATGCATTACTCATATAATTAAAAATAGTTGTAAAACCAGAGGAAAAGGCAGTGTCAAGGCACCAGAGATCGATTTCTGATCTAGAAATAAACCAGCCCTGGCTGTTGGACCGGAATGGGGAGAGGGAGAGGCCGCGGGCAGAGGCAGGAGGCTGAGTCACTCCGAGACCCAGCCCCAGCCCCAGGAGGACCGAGGCGGTCCGGCCCCACCCAAGGAGCAAGACAGCCCGCAGCAGGCTCCCAGGGCTGAGCGACGTCGGCCGCAGCGACCTACCGTCCGAGCTGACCGTCTCCCGAGCAGGGCCCGCGGCACTGCTGGGCCCGTCGGCCTCCGGGGAGCCAGCGTCCCGCTGCCCAGCCTGGCCGCGGGCGTCCTCCTCCCGGCCCGGGGCCGGCGTCCAGCGGGGGATGTGAGAGGTGCCCTGGGAGGTGAGCTCGTTCAGGTAATGCTCTATCACCTCCTTCCCCTGAAGCCAGACAGACCAAGGACAGCGGGGTCACCGCAACAGCCGGGAAACCCCCCCCACCTCGCCCTGGTTCCAGCCCCGACTCGTGGCGACTGAGCAGCTAGACGTGGCCCGTCCGAATGGAGAGAGTCTCTGAGCGCCAACACCCACGGATTTCCAAACACAGTGAGAAACGACATACATGACACCGCTCTCTGGTACGTTTATATCGACGACACACTGGATAAAATCCATTGTCAAAATTAATTTTTCCCGTTTCATTACATGAACAGGCCTTTGCTCAGCAATGCATCTGAGGCCTTTAAAACAAACGTGACCATTTTAACCAGGAAAAAGCACCACGGAATGTCCTTCTTCTGTCCAGAGAATTCATTCACATGTCTGGACATCTGGGGGGGGGGGACAATGATGAGGGCACCCTCATTACAGGCCAATGACTTTCCACCCATTATCTCATGTGATTTGGCTGTTACTAGAATACCCATTTTACAGATGGGAAGACTGAGGCCCCGGCAGGTTCTTGCCGGGTGTCACTCGAGTTGCCAGGTGGCAGAGCAGGTCCTGCTGAGGACTAACGCACCCTCTTGATGTTGGCGGTGTACTGCTTCATGGCGATCTTCTCCAAGGCATTTTCAAAGCCAAAGAAGGAGCGGATGTCCAGGGAGGCAGACTGCTCGAAGCAAGTCCAGTCCTCATTCTCCGGGTGGACCTGAAGGCCAGGCAGGGATGAAGCCGGGGTGTTAGCGTGGGGCCACCATGCCCCCCGAGAGGGCTCTGCCAAGCCTGAGATGGACAGCATGTCACAGCCTGGCAGCACTGTCGGGGACAGCAGTGCCAGGGGCCACCCAGGGAACAGTGCGGGTCTGATACCTGCAGCCCTGCCCCTTAAATACTGTATGTATACGCAGAAAATCACATTCACACACACACATATGCTTAGTATGTCATGCATATAATATATAAATAACTTATATAGCAATACCATACATTTTAGATGTATATTTTAAAACAGTTATTTTTTATATATTTATATTTTTACTGTATAATACATATTCTTATATATCAATAGATATCAGCGAAAAAAAACATCTGTGGGCAGAATCATGCCCAGGAGTCTGCTAAGTATGCAGATTCCTGGGCCCCCTCACCAGCCACTTCTGGCGGAGGGGGCGGGGCGCCGGGGAAGCTGCATTTCACAGCAGCCTCGTGCTGCTGGCGAGCGAGGCGCGGCGGGGCGCAGGCCGAGAGCCCCCACGGGAAGGAGCGTGAAGGCAGCTGCTGCCCACAGCGCCCCACACACGGGAGGGCCCAGAGGCGCTGGAGGCGTGCCGTGCAAACGGGCACCCCCGCCGTTTCTAACAGCCCCCCGCTGCCGTGCCACCGTCCCGTTGTAGCGTGTGAATGGCGTGGCCCAGGGAGGGGAAGCGACTTGCCCCGCGTCACTCAGCAAGACAGGGGCTGCGGAGCAGGGTCCCATCCAGCTCATCGCCCTCAGTCCTCACTCATGCTGTTCCCGCCCCCAGGACTCTGTTCCCAGCCCTTCCAGGGCGGCTCCGCCCAGCCCTGGGCCCGCAGCCTCAGCAGCACCTGCTAAGGAAGCACTCCTCCCACCCGCGCCCGTTCCATCTGCCCGCGCCCTTCCTAGCCCTGCGCACACACAGCCGTGGACCTGCTTTTCTCCTCTGGGTCTCCCTGGGGAATGGCAGCTCCATGAGGGCCCCATCATGCAGATGGGGCCGGGCCGCGTGCCCAGCGCTTGGCAGGGTGCCAACACATGATAGGTGCTGACACATGATAGGTGCTCAGTCGTATGTACTGGAGAATCACCATGATCATTAATTATATTAAAAGGTAACACTTACATAGGACTTCGTATGTGCCAGGCCCTGGCCTAAGGGGTTTGGATAGTATATTGCACTTCATTTAATCCTCACCACAACCTATGCCGTAGGCATGGTTATTAACCCCATTTTACAGATGAGGAAACTGAGGCACAGTTTCCTGAAAGAAAGAAGGAAAGGAGAGAGAGAAAAAGGGAAGAGGGGTGCCGGATTTAGCAGATAAAATACAGGAGGTCAGTCACATTTGGATTTCGGATAAACAAGGAATAGTATGTTTCCAAGAAATATTTGAGAAATGCTCAGAACAAAGTCTCTGCTGTTTACCGGAGCTGCGCAGGCGCCCGGGCACCCTCCGTGCTCACCCCTGACAAGGCCCTGGGCGGGACAGCGGGGCTGGGTGCGGGGGTCCCGGCGGGGAGGGGCCCGCGGGGAGGGTCCAGCTCACCGTGTAGCTGCAGTTCTCGTGGACCACCACGCGGCTGGCGAAGGTCTCATTGTGCGCCTCGATGAGGAGCGTCCTCTCCTTCCAGTTCAAGACGTTTCTCTGCACGAACACCACGTGCTCGACACCCGCGATCTGCGCGGGAGGGCAGGGGCGAGTCGGGAGGGCCACCCAGACTCCCCCGGCCCGGGGCCACGGATCCCTCCCCGGCCGCCCACCCAAGCCGGGCCAAACCCCTGGGACCCTGCGCGGTTCCCCCCAGTCCCCTGGCTGTCGCCCCTCTCGCACCAGGCCGCCCCCACCCCGGAACCTCCATCCGGACCCCCGCGCACCCCCGCCCCACCTCCTGGCCCCGCACCCCGTGCCTGCGCCTCTGCCCACCCCACCTCTGACCTCTGACCTCTGCCCCCTGCCCCCGCCTGCGCACCTTCCGCAGCAGCCGAGGGGCGTCCACGCGCAGCCGGCAGCTCCGCTCCACCACGTGCACCGCCCCGTCGGGGCTGCGGGACTCGCGCAGGACCTCGCTGCCCAGGAAGACGGGGATCTGCGGGCAGGTGGGGAAGCGCTTCTCGTAGGCCTGGGGGGCAGGACGGAGTGAGCGCAGGGCGGGGCGGCCGGAGGGTCGCGCCCAGCACTACCTCCGCCCCTGCAGGACTGTCATCTCATTAGGAGACGGGGTGTCACAGCTGGGAAAAGCGTCCCTGGCCCGTGGAAAGAGCAGGGACCCTGCTGTCACTACCGACAATACCTGTATTCAGTGCCTCTCAGATCTGAACAACGACGTGGCAAATAATCACACACACACAAAGTTCACAGCTAACACAAGAGTTTGGCAAAGCTTCAGGATATAAAATCACTATGCAAAAAATCAGTGTTATTTCTATATATTATCAATAAACAAATCAAAAATATTTAAAATGCAATTTACAATAACATCAGAAAGAATAAAATATTAATACTTAGGAATACATTTAACTAAGGAAGTTCAAAACTTTTACTCTGAACACTCTAAAACATTGCTGAAAAAAATTAAAGACCTAAAGGAATGGAAAGGCATCCCATAGTCATGGACCAGAAGACTTAATATTGTTAAGATGGCAGTATTCCCCCAAATTGGTCTACAGATTCAACAAAATCTCTACCCACACCCCAGCTGAATTCTTAACAGACATTGATGGGCTGATCCTAAAATTAATATGGAAATGCAAGAGACCCAAGATGGCCAAAACAATCTGAAAAGAACAAAATTGGAGGACTCGTATTTCCTGAATTGAAAACTTTACTACGCGGCTACAGTAATCAAAACAGTGTAGTACTGGCATAAAGATGTTAATAGATATACAGCTCAATGGAGTAGAATTGAATCCGTAAATAAACCTTCACAGTTACCAGCCATTGACCTTTGGCAAAGGTGTCATCAATACAATCCAATGGGGGGAAGAATAATCTTTTCCACAAGTGGTGAGGGCACATCTGGATGCCCACATATAAAAGAATGACGTCTTTGGACCCCTACTGAATACCACACACAAACATTAACACAAAATGGACCAAAGGCCTAAATATAAAAGTTAAAACTATAAAACTCTTAGAAGAAAACAGGAGTAAATCTTTATGCACTTGGATTAGGCAATGGTCTCTTACTTATGACACCAAAACCACAAACAACGAAAGAAAAAATAAACTGGATATCATCAAAATTGAAAACTTTTGTGCTTCAAAGGATATCAGCAAGAAAGTGAAAAGGTAAACCAGATAATGGGAGAAAATTTTTGCAAATTATACATACATAAATATGCGTAAAATGGAAGACTTGTATCTAGAATATATAAAGAAATGTTAGAATTCAATAATAAAGAGAGAATACAATTTGCAAATGGGCAGAGGATCTGAATAGACATTTCTACAAGGAAAATATACCAATGGCCAAAAAGCAAATGAAAAAATGCTCGACATCATAGTCACTAGGTAAATGCAAATCAAAACCACAATGACATACCGTTTTGCACACACTAGGATGACTGTAATAACAAAGACAGATAATAGCAAGAAACTGGAACCCCCAGACCCTGCCACGAGGATGTAAAATGGTACAACCACTTTGGAAGATAGTTTGGCAGCTCTTCAAATGGTTAAACGTAGAGTTGCCATATGATCCAGCAATTCCACTGCTAAACATATACCGAAGAGGCATGAAAACATAGGTCCATGCAAAAACTTATACACAGATGTTTACAGCAACAGTATTCATGATAGCCAAAAAGTAGAAATAACCCAAACCTCCATCAACTGATTAGTGGATAAATTAATTGTGGTCTATCCACACAATGAAATATTATTCAGCCTTAAAAAGGAACAGGTACTGACCCATGCTACGATGTGGATAAGAAACCTTGAAAACATTATGCTAAGTGAAAGAAACCAGACACAGAAGACCACATGTTGTACGATTCCCTCCACTTACGCGAAATGTCCAGACCAGGCAAATACAGAGTGACAGAAAGCAGATTAGTGGTTGCCAAGGGCTGGGGGTGGGAGGAGAGGGCGGCATGAGGGGTAAGGGGTACAGAGCTTCTCTCTGGGGTGATGAGAATATTCTGAAACTGACTGTCGTGAGGGTTGCACAGTGCTGTGAATATACTGAAAGCCATTGGACTATATACTTTTATTTTATTTTATGTTATTTTTTGAGACAGAGTTTTGCTCTGTCACCCCGACTAAAGTGCAGTGCCGTTGTCAAAGTGCAGTGCCGTCATCGTAGCTCACAGCAACCTCAGACTCCTGGGCTCAAGTGATCTTGCTGCCTCAACCTCCCAGGTAACTGGGATTACAGGCATGCGCCACCACGGTGGGCTAATTTTTCTATTTTTAGTAGAGATGGGGGTCTCACTCTTGCTCAGGCCGGTCCTGAATTTCTGAGCTCAAGCGATCCTCCCGCCTCGGCCTCCCAGAGTGCTAGGATTACAGGCGTGAGCCACGGGGCCCAGCAATTATGTGTGCTCTGTGAGCCACAGCAGGTCTCGCCCCGCCTGACAGCACAGACTCCAGCCCCCACCTGGGTGCTGGTCCCGGCTCCACCGCTTATGGGCTGGGTGACCTTGGGCAGGTTACGTAACCTCTCAGTGCCCTACTGCACAGGGCGGCGGTGAGAACTGAGCAAGCTGACGTGGCTGCAGGACTATTTCCTCGGCAGCTTCGCGGTCTCACACGTGGCGGTGAACGCAAGCGGGAGTTAAGTCAGGCTCCCCCGAGACCCTGTGCCCTTCAGAGGGGAGGCGCCTCGGCCCAGTGCAGAGTCCCCTGCCGGCGGGGATGGCTCCCTGAGCCTTGCTGTCCTCAGAGCCACTTGGGCCAGCCCCAGGCTGCGAGCTGGGGATGTGTCCTTCTGCGGGGGGAGGGGGTCCTCCCAGGCAGGGGTGGGGCTGGGTGAAGGTAGCCCAGGGGTCCCCAAGCCCAGGAGCGCACTCAGGGAGGGGAGAGGCTGTACCCAGTTCTCCAAGTGCCAGGGTCCACGCTGGTGGGGGCGTGTCCTGCCATCTGGCTTGACCTTCTCTGTTATTCCAGCGGGGTCCACGCCCGCCGCCTGTCACGGCCCGTGTGCCCCGAAATCGGGATCGTTGCAAGCTCCAGAAATAGTGCCTAGTGCTGGCATCTGAGGACAGACACCTCCTCCCCTTCCCTCCCGGCTCCTAGGAAAAGAGGTAGGGGGAGGGGAGCCAAGGAAGAAATGGAAACAGGCCCAGGTGGCCTTGGTGTCACCCCAGGCCGTGGGAGGCCAGCCAGCCCTCCCTCCGCCAGGGTCCCGGGAGGACAGAGCTGCCTCCGGCCATGGTTCGGGGTTGGTCGCTTTGACAAAACACAGCGTGGTTAGAATGGGGACCCCCACATCTCCCCAGCGTGCGCCCGCCATGGGGCTCCCAGGGTCTGCGCTTGGAGAGCTGGCAAGGCAGGCCCCCGACAGGGTGCGCTGCATGTCTCCGGCCGCCTGGGACCCTCTCTGGAAGGGTGGCGGGTCCTGGAGGAGGAGGGAGCTGTGGGGAGAGGCAGCAGGGGTGGGGGCCTGGGTGGGAGCTCAGCTGCCCCTTCCCGCTGCTCATCACCTGGAAAGCGGGCCTCTGCCTCGCACGTGCCAGTCTCTGAGTGTCCCACAGAGCAGAGTAAGAGGCTAGAATTTGTATTCTCCAGGAGGCAGGACTGAAATGGTGGCACAGGGCACACACGCCCTCCAGGACCGCAGCTCCCTCCTGGCCCCGTCTGAGCCCGGGCGGGCCGCGTCCCGCTGGCGTGGGAGGAAAGGTGTGCCCCTTTCGGACATGGCCAGGCTCAGTCCCAGCCTCTGCCACTTTCTGGCTGGGTGTCCTTGGGCAAGTCACTTGCCCTCTCTGAGCCTCTGTCTGGTCATCTGTAACATGGGATGGCAGCGAGGATGTCGCCAGAGTCCCAAAGCGGTGAGCGCCCGCAGTCCTGACGGGCTCCCTCCAGCTGTGTGCGTCCTCCCGCTCAGTCCCATGATGGTGTCCTCATTTGACAAATGTTGAGCCCAGAGCCCAGAGAGATTCAGTATGTTACCCAAGGTCACACAGCACGGAAGGGTGCACCTGGATTTGGATCCTAGCTGGGCCCAGCACCCGCTCCCTCCGGGAGCCCCGGCTCAGCAGCTGGGCTTGTCCTCGTGAGCGGCTCAGAAACAGAGCTGGCATTGTCCCCAAGGCACTGCGGTGACATCTTCTCCTTTTTCCCCCCTCAGTCCGTCAGCTTCTGCCAGGCAGCGGCCACACCACTCCTGACCCTCTCCCCTTCCTCCCGACAGTTCAGTCTCCCGTACCCCCGATGACAAGCGTTGAGGGAGGGATGTACTCGGAACAGGCCTTGATGTCCAGCATAAAGCCCACGCTCCTCACTGTGGCCCCCGGCCCAGCTCTCCCCCGCCCCCTAGCCTGCACCAGCCACAGGGCCTTTGCACTTGCTGTTCGCGATGCTTGGGCCGCTGATGGAGTCCCTTAACAGTGAAGGGTGCGGGAGGTGCGAGTCGCTGGGGCTTCCTGGAGGGGTAGGACCTGGATTGGGACTAAGGAGATGCTTGGGCTTCAGGGCCTCATCCACGCCGGTCCCTCTTCCCGGAACACCCTCCCCGCCCCTCCTCTGCACGACGGCCCTGTTCTCCACCCTGTAGCCCGTCCGTTTCCTTGGCAGCGCCCAGCATGCCTGTGACCACAGACGCGCCCGCACGTGGCGTGCGCCAGGCCTGGCCAGCGAAGGAGGACCGCCTGCCCTCCCAAGCACAGCCTCACGCCTGCCGGCTCCCGTCCCGGCACGCCCTGGGGGCTAACAGAGACACGCCGGCCAAGGAGGAAGGAAACAGTATGCCCTTGCCGCCGGCCCGGACGGCCCCAAGTCCGGCATCCAGGGAGGGCACAGCAGCCAGTCAGGGCCAGGGCTCCCCGGCTCACTTCCTGTCCGAACAAGCCTCGGTCACGGCAGCCCCGTCTGGAGCCCCCGGATAACAGGCGCAGGAGGGACGGTCGGCTTGGGCACAGCTTGCCCTGACTGCAAAAGGGAAGGCACTGCCCTGTCACA